AGATGCGGACAAGAGTCCTAACAGTGTACATAGTGTAAATAATTACAATACCACATCTCAGAAATAGTGACAGATACTGAAGAAGTCCGGGTCATAAAATGGCTGAAACTTCGTTAATATGGCAACAAAGATGAGGACAACACTCCAAACAATGTAAATAGTCTAAATAATTATAGTGCCTCATATCAGAAATATAGACAGCATTGTTGTGGTTAAAATATAAAGCAAAATTAACCAGTTTAACATTTTAAAAATATGTTTTTTAAAAATGCTATATAATATTAAAATGGTTAATTTTATTTAGATAATCGTATTTTATGGGGAAGAGGTGATTGATCCACACATACTCCTATAAAATACGATTATACAAAATTTTTCTGGAGGCAGTTTCAGTTCGCTATGTAAATATATAAAATGGCCGATGAAATAATTTGGATATTCTTTGGAACTACGTAATTCGTTAAAGACAACGAAAAGCAACCCTGTTTTTTTTGGGTTTTTTTCATTACACTAAAGTCGGTGATCGATTTACATTGATTTTGCATCGTGAACTGAACCAGCAAATCTAAATTATGTTACCACCGTTCTTAAAATCTAATCTTAAAGATAAGGTCATTGATCATGCCGTTTGGCATCATTCCGTCCGTAGGGACATTGTGAAGGCGGAGGGTATGGGTGGCGGCGGGGGTGGGGAACAACTTGCAGTGGAGGAAAGGAATCGAATAAAGTGCGCTGAGGCAATCCTTGCAATCCAGACGTCTTGCTTCATCTGTGCAGCTGATACTGACACTTGCACATTGGCCTGAACAGTCATAGCAGATGGTTCTGCAAGCCTATATCACTTCAGGAACACATCTATTATGGTTTGCTTAGACTGTGGTACTAATAATAGAACTGTAACGTACAAGAATTCTGACTATTTTATTAATATGCCAGAAGATCAGCGGTCGCCAAACATTTGAACTTCATAGACCACTAAATGTAGAATTTTAAATTTGGCGGGCAACGAATATGTATTTAGAAAAAAATAAATAAATCCATTTATATAATAATAATCAGAAAACTTTTATTTTATTAATATGAAATTCACCCATTAAAGATAAAAGAAAAAATTATAGTGTAATTATTTAAATAAAACAAATTGAAAATTTGAAGTTGGTTCAAGTATTACACAACGTCAATTTTTTTAAGCTCCCGGTATTACTCCATTGCTCTGCCATGTTTTAGAAAAGTATACAAGTAAATCGTCTAGTAACTATTTTTCAAAAGTAATGGTAAGAAACTATTTAGTAACAAGTATTGAACATGACTTTGCAAGTCACGTTATATTATGACTGGATAATGTCACATTTGTGTATTCGTATTTATTTCGAGATTACAATAGGTCTTGAGATATATATATATATATATATATATATATATATATATATATATATATATATATATACCATCCATAATACGTTTTCTTACTCGTCATCTTTTAATCTAAAGCTTCATAAAAATTGAAATAATGTCCCAATTTTTCTGTGGACTATCAGAAATTGAGCATAGGCCATGTACACAAGCAAATGGAACGAACTCGACCTGAATTCGAACTTCGTTCTCCGACTGTGATTTTCGTATTTGTTGTTGTGTTTAAATGCGGGTGTGGTTGGGTGAGTGTTATGGGATGAATGATTGTTTTGTATATTATTAAAGTCCCGTATTAATTTCGTCCAGTTAACTAATGTTTCTGCCACATTTAGTGATTTTCATAGAGACAAAGAGGTATTGCGGTGAATGTCTTAAGAAAGGTAAGTAAGAATGCGTTGTTTTGGTGTTAGGAATATTGTTGTATGTTTGTGTCAGTGTTTGTGGTTAGATAAGTTTAATGTTAAGACAGATGAAGACCGTCTTTTTCCACTATTCTACATTTTGGCCTTGTGCCACATTTCTGTATATAAGCGGAATAAACATCGCTTTTCGCTATGATAGTTTTGTTTTCATATTGTAAATATTCATTGGGGCTAGTTTTTAAATTGTTGTTTTATTCACCTCAACCACAGACAAAGAATTGTACATAAGGGGACTATTTAGGATTTTCATAGAGACAATGTGGTATTATGGTGGATGTAGTAAGAAAGGTAAGTAAGAATGTGTTGTTTTGGTGGTAGGAATATTGTTTGTATATTTAAGTCAGTGTTTGTGACTAGCTAAGTTTAATATTTTAGGCAGAACAAGACCGTTCTTTTTCACTATTCCCCATTTTTGGCCTTGTGCCACATTTTCTATACTTTTCTGTCCTTGGACCACTGATTGGCAACCACTGATTTAGATGATTTTAAACGTGTTCCTAATCATATTTTCTTTTGTCCTTTTTTAAACCACAATCTTTTTAGCTTCAGAAAAATGACAAATCTACAAATTCTTAGAAAATTTAAATTCTCAGTTCTGAATCCTAAATTTCAAATTTCGACAACTTTTTAGAATCATCTAATTTTTACAAAATAAAAGTCGAGTTAACATTTTTTATTAAATTTCAATCCCCACCCTTACACACCTTTCTCAAGATGGTCAAAAAGTTCTGTTATTTTGTCGTAAAATGTGTGGGGGCATACACGCTGACGAGGGTGACAGGGCATGCTGAGGTGTTGAGGCTGAGAGTGAGGAGTCTCTCGGAACCGTTGCTTCCTGGTTCTACCGTATTCAGCAGGCTGTTGCTCACTGCGAAGCCCACTCCGTGTTCATCAGGGCTTGTCCCCTGTCAGAAGAATGTGCAGTCCTTATCCTTCAGCGACCCACAGTCAGCCAGACGTTTTTCCTGTAGAGTAGCGATGTCCACATGAAGCCTATTGGGCTAGCCGTTGATGAAGGCTGTTTTCCTGAAGTTGCTGATATCCTCGGGGTCTTCAGAGAGGCCGGTCTATGATAAACAAATTAAGGCTCGGACATTTCGTTTTCCCTCACATCAGAATGATCGATAAAGATGCTTAAAGGCATTACCTTAATACAAAACCCCTAAAAAACCAAACATATTTGTGAAAGTCATTTTCCATCTGATTATGAGACAGTAGTTATTAGAGGCATAGTACGACTCCGAAATCCACTAACAGTATTTGATCATTTACCATCAAGTGTATTTCGGTTTGGTTTCGTTTATTTTGTTTAACGGCATATCAACCACAAAGGGGTATTTAATGCTGACAACATTTTTAGGATAGATTCGTATGAATAGAATATGTATTATTTGGTTTAGATTGGTTTGGTTTATTTTGTTTTACGGCATATCAACCTCAATGGGTTATTTAATGCCGACAACATTTTTAGGATAGATTCGTATGAATAGAATATGTATTCTTTGGTTTAGATTGGTTTGGTTTATTTTGTTTTACGGCATATCAACCTGAATGGGTTATTTAATGCCGACAGCATTTTTAGGATAGATTCGTATGAATAGAATATGTATTCTTTGGTTTAGATTGGTTTGGTTTATTTTGTTTTACGGCATATCAACCTCAATAGAAAACCTCAAATGAAAAATATTGCAGCAATAAAAATGTGGTCGGCATTTATTTAATGCCGACCACATTTTTATTGCTGCAATATTTTTTGATAAATGTATAGCTAATTATATATATACATATATATATGTAGATAGATAGATAGATAGATAGATATAAATGTATTGCGGGTAATAATTTCTTCTTCAAAAAATTATTGCTGGTAATAATTTTTTACAAAAAAGTATTGCTGGATTAAAACTTATTTTTACACTTTAACAGTATTTTGACCTCAGTTTGGAGGTTACCTATTTGCCCATATTTGGGACCCTAACAGGTGCTACCACATCGAGTCACCAGCAATTAAGAGGTGCTTCCACGCTCCTCAAAACCTTCTGATCAAAGGCCTTGCTGTTGGATGTAGTTTATCCTCTTACCCAAAACGCCAAGTGTATTTCTTAATCAATCAAAACAAAGAACAACAAATAAAACGTCTAATTCTGTATGAAATGTGCAAAATGATGAGTTGGCACAGTTTCTAGAAAAGAAGGAAACCATCAATTTTGAAAATTTGTATCAGAATATTGATCAACAAGAATTTATTTCAGCATTTACAACCTATAAATCAATCAATTATCTGTTTATCCAATCTGTTGATTTTTCAATGGAGATATTTCAATATTTTTAATTAACATTTTTGAGAATTGGAAATTTGAATGTTGCCATGCTGGTGTAGATGCTACAATATTTTCTCTTTCAAAAAGTTGAATATCAATATTTCAGCACCGGTCACTAATCAAAGAAGCAATTCATTATCTTAGTAACGTAAAAATTGATAATAAATAAAAGAACCTGTTAATGTTATTTCATTACAGAAGATTGGAGAGCGAAACATTATGATTCTAATATTCGTATCAGAACATGTTAATATATTATTACATCTCGGTCATTATATAAATAGAAGCTCGGATTGAGGAATCGGAGAGCCGAGTTCGAATTCCACTCGAACCCATTACATTCACTTACGTGCTAATACCCTTAGGAAGGGCATGAATGAAAAAATATGTGAGTAGTTAGAGATATGTTTTCTAATAAATGTATAAATTTGGTTTTAATTTGTAATCTCTATGTGTAAATTGTGTTTCTCTGCTACTGACTCATTCAAAATAGCCAAAAATCTTTTTCTCCCCCCCCCCACCAAATAGTTATGTGTAAATAGCAGGACAGACCGGGTTCTATAGCTTTGGATAGCAACTGGTCTACCGCAAAAAGAAATGCCATCCTACAGCGGGAAAAAAACTGCCTCTTCAATCATGTATCGAAAGCGTGTATCACGCATGGCTGACGTGCTAATACCGTTGGGAAAGGTACGAATCCTCTTCTCCTCCCCACTTCCCAGCTACGGGTAAATAGCAGGACTGACCAGGTTCTATAGCCTTGGATTGAAACTGATCGCGAGATGCATGATCGCCTAAGCGTGTATCAGGGATGGCACATAACTAAACTGATATAAGTATATACTTACGATCAAATCACGATGAACACACCTGTTCTCGTCTGATCACCGAAGTTAAGCCTCGTCAGGTCAGTACCTAGGTGGGTAACAGCATGGGAATACTTGGTACTGTAAGCAGACCCCTACTACAGTGGCTAAAGTTGAAGAATTCGTGAGCCGAGTTCAAATTCAAATCGAATCCATTACATTCACTTACGTGCTAATACTCTTGGGAAATGTATAAATCCTCTTCTCCTCCCCACTCCCCAGCTACGGATAGATAGCAGGGCTGACCAGGTTCTATAGCCTTGGATGGCAACTGGTCTACCACAGAAAGAAATGACATCCTACTGCGGGAAAAATCCGCCTCATCAGTCGTGTATCGAAAGATACATGATCGCCTAAGCGTGTATCACGGATGGTTCATAAAAGACTGACTGATATTATATAAAAGACTGCAGGATGATTTTAAGTTATTCAGCGTAAGAACATTATCTGTTTTAATATCAAAAGTCTCAAAATTAGAAGTCTTTAATTCTTTTGGTAATATTTTCAGTAAATTCTCTGAAAATCAGAAAATGTTCATTCTTTTAGTTGATGAAGTGTATGTCATAGTTGCTTTACAATATCATTATTTAGTTTGGCTGATAATCCTGGGGGATTAGCAGAAACATTATTGGTCATCGTGATAAAATGTTTCGATGGTGGACCAATTTTTTTTTGCAAAATCAGCGGCAACTTGTTGATGCATTCAAACAAATAAATGGTCGAGTAATTGCAATTGCAAGCGACAACAACAACAGAATCCATCAATCTTTTTTTTTATTAAAATTGACACTGTTTTTAATAAGCCTTTGATAACTAAAATGGCTTCTACTTACTTTTTGATTATATCAACCTTTTTAAAAAATATTTGGAATATTTCGGTTACTTAACATACTTCCGAATTACTGTTTTTTCTGAAGGCAAAATGTTAAAAAAAAATACGAAATTGTGAAAGATCTTTTTAATATGAAAAACACTGAATTTGTTAAGCAGTCGAAACTAACTGATGTCGCCTTTTGTTTCCCACTGTTTAAAAGCTTTTGTGATCAAACTGTAGCTGTAATTAAAACCCATCCATTATTAAATGGGGGGGGGGCAAGAGGAAGAAAAAAAGTAAAGAAAAGAAAAAGTATATCCCATAAGAAAGATATGAATCTATCTCTTCACCAGCAGGATAGACTAGGTTCTATAGCCTTGAGTGGCCACCGGTCTAGAAGACAGAAATCCTGATAAAAACAACTATTGATAAATTGCAGGACAGACTGGGTTTTATACCCTTGGGTAGCAACCAATCTAGGAGAAGATAAAACTTTGAAATCAAAACCGTGAACTATCGGTAAATAGTAGGGTAGATTAATCTCTGTAGCCATGGTTGACCAACTCCGAATTCAAATCCGGAACCGGTGCTCCTAAGAGAGTCTCGATCCAGGAACTCCTGCGACGACACCGGTGCGAATGTTTTGAACAATAAAAATATTAAAAAAATAAAATCTTCAGACACACTGGGTTGTATATTAATATTCTTTCGTTTTTATTATTATTTCAGTTAGATTCCTCGATTAGTTTCGGCCAACATGGGCATCATCAGGAGAGAAAAATGTCTGCTTGTTAATAGCAGTGAACTACAGAAATGAATGACTTGATGGAGAAAATGAACTTTTATCTGTAGTTTTCATTTTTTTGTTTTTTTTATTTTTAACATTAATTTTGGTCATTCCTTGTGTTGATCAAAAAGTCTCTTTTAAGTTGTTATTTAAGATAAGAACTGGATAGATTTATGCTGCTCTGAATTCCCTTGGTCATTTTGACAGTTTTATTGGTTCCTGGAAAGGGGATGTGTTTCTGTTAAGTGTGTGTGTTATTTGGTTTTTAGGGAGTGAGTATGATGTGTGTAAATGTGCTATCATTTGGCTCATTAGGGAGTAAGTGAGTATGAAGGTGTAAGTGTGTATATTAGTATGTGTGTGAGTATAAGTGTGTGGCCTCAGCACCTCCGTAAGTATGTTTATCTTGCGTGGGTGGGAAATGTGGGTGGGTCTTGTTTTGTGGGGTTATATATTAATTATATCTATGTTGTTAAATTTGTGATTAAGCCCGTCTTGAAGAGTTACAGACGTCGAATCCACTTATTTTTCATGACCTTCTAAAATCTTTCTTACGTTATCTGCTCTGAACTTTTCTATCCTCTCAATTATTGTGAATTTGGCATGGGTTTTAAAATCGTGTTTTTTGTAGGCGGAAATGTTGTTCTACAGGTAATAATCTTTCATGTGAAGCCAACATAATTCGATTGCGATAATTATTAATTCTGTAGTGAAAAGGCCATTCAGATTTTCCTACATATTGTTTCTGGCATAGTGTGCATTCTAGGAGGTAAATTATGTAATGATTTCTACAGTTAGAATCGTGGTAAATTTTGAAAGTAGATTTAGTAACTGAGATAGTGAATGAATCCATGTGTCTAATGTGGTTACAGCATAAGCTTCTTTTGTTGTTACATGGTTGGGAAAATCCTATTGTTTTAGTCTATGGTTTAATACGGATTACCTAGTCTCCTGAAATATGGTTACTACCTATGATTTCCTTTAGGTTTTTAGGTCTAAGATATGCCAGAACGCCGGGTGTCACAAACAATTTTTTAGGGCTGGTATATATATATATATATATATATATATATATATATATATAAACAAACTTATATATGTCGTGTATGCTTATCACATTTTCACTCAGGATCTCTTTACGTCAGGTCTACTCAAGCACGTCTGTTTTCAACCTAAGCCGTTGAACACACGACAGAATCTAAGACCGGAAACGGATAAGAAGGGAGAGAGAAAAGAATGAAAACAAAAACTGAAACCGCCATTTTGTTGTTTGACAAATCAAATTACCACCACAAAAATTCAGTCATCCAAGATAAAGCTGGGAAGAAAATAACACAAAATCCAGTCATGTTTTTACTGTGTTTTTTTTTTCTTTCCCTTTTGTTTTTCTTTCTCATCCTTTCCATTACGTCCGTACTGTCTTCATGAAAACCACAAAATATATTTCATCAGGGAATTACAAATCTTGCTATTTTTTGGGGGGGGGGGGAATTATTTATTTCTATTTCATTTTTTTATTTTATTTCTGCTGTATAAACTTGTGTTTGCTTTACATTTTCTTTTCCAAGACGAAATTAAAATATCCCAAATCGTTTTCTATCTTGGTGTTTTCTCGCTAATTCTCGATTTCTTTTACGTCTTCTCGTTAAATCTCGTGACATCAAACGTTGCTCAACAGCCGAACATTTCAAGCGATTTTATAAGTGTCTAATTTTAGTGGACTTATTTTTTTAAACTTCTTTTTATTTATTTCTTTTTTTCTTTTTACTTCTTTAATCATTTCAAGGGAAATAAGTCGTGGCGTTTTCACTGTCTCGAAAATAAATGCACAAGATCGCAGAGAAACAATTATAGTTTTAACCCAGGATAAATGAATTGACATCGTTCATCCGTCCGTAACTCGCTTGAAACCAAATTTCAATAAGTTTCGGTCTGTTATCTATCTAGACAAGAATAAAGATGGTTAGAAATATATACGAACAAGCTTGTTATTGTTTCGATTCTTGACACAGTCGCATCTTGTTTTATTAGGTTTAGTTTTATTACGTTTCACAAAAACTTTGCCTTCTTTTATAAATTGAAAGTTAGCGGAATAATTGCCCCAAGCAAGTCTGTCATCGCCATTTTGACAACTCCATTTGCTCGCTTCGAGTATCTGTGTCAGGTTTTAGGAACAGTAGGTGAAGCTTATACTTAACATCAGGAAGAGGCAGATGAATTTTCTGGGACAGGTAATGAGAAAGGAAGGCCTGGAGAATCTGATACTCACAGGTCGAATAGAGGCAAAGAGAGATAAGGGAAATCAACGCATGACATTCCTAGCGGGCTTAAGTAAGTGGATGATAGAACATGGCCTGGGGGAGGAGGCAGAGGGATGAACCATATTGAGAGTTGCAAAGAATAGGGGGAAGTGGAGAGCCATAATCACCAACGTCCTGAAGGGACACGGCACATAAAAAGAAACGAAGGTTCATTTAATTTAGTTATGAATACACGTTTACCTTATATCCTCGTGTATAAGACGACTTTATGAATAATGCGTGCACTAAAATGGTTGTTGTTCGTACGCTTATTAGAAGATAGAATGCTATATATATATATATATATATATATATATATATATATATATATATATATATATATATATATATGCCAAATTATTATCGAGATAACAAATATGGCGCCAGTTTGCTTACATTGCGCAGATCAGCACGAAAATTTCAGTGATTGCGCAGGTCAGTGTTGGCAATATTATGTGAATTTTTGTGTGAATTGATTGGACGGTTTTTGAAATATTAGAAAAAAGTTATCTCGATAATAATTTGGCACGCAGTGTGTATATATATATATATATATATATATATATATATATATATATATATATATATATATATATATACACACATATATATATATATATATATATATATATATATATATATATATATAATCGACACTCCCGTCGAGATTCGACGTATGAGGGTCAAGCAGATCAGTTTCCAGGAAACTGACAGCCCGACACCGGCACATGAAATTTGATTATTGTGGTGAAGGTTTTGTGCAGGACCATCCACACTTTTTGAAGGGACGAATACAGAGACCTGGTGCACTGAATGCCACAAGGTTCCCAAACGACCCTCCGCAGGTTTTGAATTCAGAGTTGTCCTTCTCCTAGACCAATTGCCATCCAAGGCTATAGAACCCAGTCTGTCCTTCTATTTTACCCATAGCTGGAGGGAGAGGAAGAGGATTCATACCTTTCCCAAGGGTATTTGCACGTAAGTGAATGTAATTGATTGACTGGAATTCGAACCCGGCTCCTCAATGCGATTATGAATATATATATATATATATATATATCATATATATATATATATATTTATATATATATATACATATATATATAAATTTAAATAAAACACACACACACACACATGTTTTTATTTAAATTATTTGCTCTGGAAAACAGACCTCTCTAGATTTTATG